GTAGGTAGGATGTCAGTTGTAGAATTTAAGGAAGTTTACTTCAATTTCTAGTTTGCTGAGGATTTTCTTTTCAATTGACATTATGTGTGTTATCAAGAGGGGATGTTGACTTTTATCAAATTTTTCTACATCTAGTGAGAAAATCATGTTAACATTGAACCTTCTATTATTATGACACATTATTCTGATTGCTTTTAAATGTTAAATAAATCTTGCATTTCTGGAGTAAAGTCCAGTTTACCCTTTCAATGAAATCCTGAATTTAACTTACCAATATTTTGCTCAGATATTTTACATTTGTATTCATGAACTAACCTATCATTTTTGTTAATTTTCTTGAACTTAATCAAATATTTCATCCAATTTATTTTTTATTTCAGAGTACTAATAATTGAAATTGTTACAGGTGTACATTTCTTTCTATTTCTTAAATATGTTTTTGTGTTTGTATATTACTTTCTACTGCTTTATTTGGGCATATGTAAAATTAGTTTTAGTGTACAATTTCATCTTTCTTCTTTCTTCCCATGAACCCCAGCCACCCTGTGAATGTCCACTATTTTTTATCCCATACAGCAAACTTTATATTTTCTAAATTATTACTTTGCCAGATGAAGGATCAAATGGGCTATTAAAAATATGGTGCTAGCTGAATTTGAAAGATGCTCATGGCAGGAAAGTTTACTTATTAGTTTAGTGTTTGTTTATTTGCAGAGTTTGCATGTCTGGGTAAGTTGGTGCAATGACCGTCATCATTTATCCTGTTCAGCAGGGTCCTTTATCCCTAAGGCACTGGGCACTGGAGATGCTCACCATCATTTCACAATTCTAATTATCTGTGGTCAATCAGGAACACGCCCCAGGGGAGAACAGAGAGGAAGGAAGTCCACTTTGGCTTGGGTCTTTTTTTCCATATGAGTACTATGGTACTCTGCATTCTGTCCCTTCTGTAACTTAATGCAACTCCTCTACTTGGGAATTGTTTGGCCCTGGCCCCCGCCCCTTCACTTGCCAGCCTGGAAAACCAGGTAAATCTCATTATAAGTCCATGTTGGGTCGCTGCTGTATCCCCTTGACATTTGTTGCTCTGACCTTGTTTCTCTCCCTTGCTCTGTCCATGCTCTTAACTGCTTATGGTACAATGCTCACGTTTTTGAGGGTTCTACTTGCAGAATTTCATATTACTTTTCCAGCAGCATTCTTTGTCTTGCTAAATCTCAGGCTAGTCTGTATTTCCCTCACTCTGATGTCATTTTCCCTATATTTTGAAGAAAAAATTAAAGTTTCCATTCATGTATAGAATATAGTTACTTCTAGAAAATCTTTCTTTGGCTTTAGTTACATTTTAGAAAAAGAAAGAAAATTTAAGACCATCAGCTCAAATAGCCAAGGTGAGATAAAATAGATGCCTAACTGAAGTCAAGTACAATGTTGTAATAGACCATATTAATAATATAATCCAGGTATGGTTTTTTAAATTCTAAGACATGTTCCTCCTGTGATCCAGAGTGCGGAGACTTCCTCCTCTTCTCACTTTCTATGTCACGTCTGTTCTCCATTGACATATGAAAATTGCCTGTTTTGTATTTTGAAAGATGATTTGGAATCATTTAAATGGTAACTACTAAATAGAAATGGTGCATTAAGCCTAAATAAAAATGGTGCATTAAGAAATTGGGAAAATAAGGTGTTAATTACCTGTATCCAGGTAAATGTGCTTTAAAAATGTGCTTTTCTCAGAGTTTGAAGACAATGGGGTAATGTCTAAAACTAAAAGAAAAAAGCTAAAATGAAAAAGTATGATTTAAACATGTTTTCAAACTATAGAGAAAAATATCAAATAAAGCAGCTATAGGCTTTGGGTGCTATTGCTGCAGAAAAGAACTTGGGGGAAAGGGAGTATTGGGAAGGAGATCATAGGTTTTCATTATAAATCTGAAGTGCGTCTTCTTACTGTTAAGTGAGAAGATGTATTCCCTTAATAAGAGTAAAAAATAAAGAAAATTTATTCATAGAATTCCATAAAAATAAGATTTACTGGGCCTTAGATCTTAAGAAATTTTACAAATGAACAGAGGATACCAGCAATGAAAACATCTATGTTAAAAATGTCTATGCCAAAAGATATTTGTGCATATTATGCCTTTTTAAGTCAAATATTTAAATTAGGGTGACAACACTAAAAACCAAGTAAAACTACATAAAGTGTAAATGTGAGGCTTCTCCCTTCAGTGAGTGTCCAATTCTATGATTATTTGGAGATGTGCTAAGTAATTTTGCTCTGGCCTCTAATACGAGGGTTAACAGGTTGTATATAAATTTAATGACATGACTATATAAGAGACATTATCTCTAAAATTATGAGATCATTTTGAACACTAATGAAGCACTGCATTTGTTATTTTTTCCTAGGTTTTTATTTAGAAAGTTCATTGAAACAACATGGCATCACAGTTTAGACATATTTTAATCTCACTATAATTTAATATTTAAAAAAAATCTACTAATTTCTGATTCTCAACAATGAAATTTATAAAAATAATTTTACACTTATAAAAAGAATTGTTATTTCACAATAAATTATTCATTTCTATTACCTGAAAAAAAAAAGTTGTATACTATATAGAAGCAATAACTTTCCTTACCAATATTTTGAAAATATGCTTAAAATATCAGTTCCTCTTTATTTGGCATTTTTGGCAGTTCAGTATATAAAACTATTATATTACAAATTCCCTGACCATAGTTATTAAGGCAAAATCATTAATCATAACTTCCATGACATAGCGGTTTAGTAAATACATGTGGATAAATTAGAGGATTAACTAAACACAAATTTTGTGTTTTATATTTTTAAGGCATTTGCTATGGTTTGAATGTTTGTGTTTCTGAAAATGTTTACATTGAAACCTAATTTCCAGTGTGATGGTACTGGGAGGCCACTAGGTTGGGAGAATTAGTATCTTTGTACAATAGGCCCCAGAGAGCTGCCTTTCACCTTCCACAGAAGAGGGCACAGCGAGAAGGTACCAACCATGGACCAGAGACCAAAGCAGCTGACATCTTGATATTGAACTTCCCAGCCTTGTGAATTATAAGAAATAAATTTCTGTTGATAGCTGTAAAGTGTATGGTATTTTTGGTATAGCAGCCCAAATGAACTAGAGTATGTTTTTACATCTTCTAAGAGAAAACCCCAAGAAAGTAAATGGAAACCTACGAAAGATATTTGTACTTATAAAAATCAAACATTCTTATTCATGAAATAGACACAACAGTAAATTTTCCAAAAATAAGAGTTAACCCCCCACACAATGATATTTAACAGTTTTACAAGGGTACTAGTTCTTGAAGAAATTTTATTGATTCTATTAAAGCAATGACAGTTTTTAAATGATTTTTTATCTTTTATTTTTGTATTCCAAGAGTTTCAATTTCACTGTAAGAGCCAGTAAGTTAGTTGATGTTAATGTAGCCTTTTTATTTGTAGGGTACGTGGGAGTTATGAAATCATAATCTAAGGAATTTTGAAAAGTTCTGAAAAAAATATTTTGATTCAATCTTTCACAGCTTTGGATACTTAAAAAAATCTTATTGATAATTACTCAGCCAGCCTTCCCAGTTTTTCTTCTCCTCAACCAGAGGGGAGGGAGCCAGTGCTTCCTGAGGTAGCCTCTCATTAATTGTTTCCAAAAAAGCTGTAGTTTTAGATGATATCAAATAATTTGGGGCTCCCATTAACTTTTCAGTCTAGAAATAGACATTTGGTGCACTCCTGGGTTGCCAGATTTTAAAAAATCTGCTGTCATTTATTTGAATTTGTTTTCTGTTGTCAGAAAAATCTATCTCATGTATCTTTTATTTTCTTTAACATTTTTAGGGGGAGATGCCTATTAAAGTACCAATGTGGTTCTTATTCAAGCTGCAACTATTTTGCACACATTGCTTACATGAAAATATATATTACAGGCAACAGGACGGGTAGTAGTCAGTCCTCACTCAGCTGCATATATTTAAAAAAAAAAGGTCACATTTTTCCTTTTTACACCAAAGACTTATTTTCATTAAAGTCAACCAGACCTGCTTTTGAATGTGGGTCTCTTACTGTTTAGGTTTATGAATTTTGGTTATATTTTTTAAAGCCTTAAGCTAAAGGTTTATTTATAAAAGAGAGATAATAATACCTCTCTTACAGGGTTGTGGTGAGGGCTAAATAAGACACATCTCAGGTAGATGGCAAGGGTTTGCCCTTTCAGACTAGAATGACTTTAGCAGGGACAAGTCTTCCACCTAAATGGGACTCTCCTGCCTGCCCTGGGAATGAGCCATGCTAATTTCTAGCAATGAATGACTGTTTCTAGACTGTTTTAAGAGACAGAAATAAATGTCTCTATTGGTTGAGCCACTGTTTCAGGGGCATCTTGTCATAGTTTAGCCTGTATTCTAACTGATATCACTCATATGTTTTATATTGACACACATCTTCAAAACAGACTGATTTCAAAGAATAGCCAGTCATCCTTTGAATGGCTTTTTGTAATTTTCTCAACCTAAGATAGAAACATTTCAAAGACACTTCACAGCCACAGAGTGCTCAAATATGATTCTTCTTCCACGAAATGCACTCTGCTCTAAAGAAATGGCTTTGTTTTCCTAATCTGCAAGTTTATAATTTATAAAAAAAATAGTTAATTTTATATTCACCTGGGATTTCTGATTTACTATTCTCAGCCAAAAAAAGAGCACTTAGTTCTGTATCTCATCACAATAAAGCAAGTATTTACAGACTTAAATTAAGAAAACAAATGAAGGGGAACGTAAGAGTCAACTCGCTCAGACACAATACAGAGGCAACGGGAAAAAAGGCCCTATACACACATATTCAAACTCAGACACACATCCGTTGATGTGAAAGCTTCACATGGTAACAACAACAAACAAAATGAACATATAAACAATAAAATAGGACACCATCTTATAACAGCACCAAGACGAAGCCTTGGCTAAGAGTTTGCCAAAAGTACCATCCTGAGATATTTCAAGGCCAAGAACTTTTCACAGTGAAGCAGTGCCGGTCAAAAGTAAACACGTTCACAATTGTTTTTGTTTGGAGAGAGGCTGATGGGCAATGACCGAAGCTTGGTTCGCAGGGATTTTGTAGTGCTCTTGTCCAGAACCTTGTGGTGGGGAAGGCAGTGGGGTTTCAGGAGTTGCTGAAAAAGAATCATAGAGTTGTACGGGATGATGGTTGTCAACCTGCCTTGCCCCATGAGCCCCTACACAACATTAATACTCTAGCATAGTTTTGAAACCCTTTTAAACCATCATATGAAAAGTAGTGATTTGTAGATGGCGCTATCTGCCCACTGACATACGACTGGGGAGCACCCTCAGCCTACCTCCCCCAAATAGGATATTACACAGGAAGATGTCAAGCTAAAAAACTTCATCGTTACTTTAAGAAGTTTTCTGCCTTTCTTAATAGCATCTAGAAGCATTTGAGTCTCTAAAAAATCCAGCCCCAAAAAAAGTTAGTGAGAAGAAAAGCATGGCAATTTTTCATAGATTAGAAAATCTTCATGATTTTTGCAATGAAAATTCACATAAAATAAAAATACATTGTGTTTGGATCCCACTAATTTAGATGTATTAGATGACATAATAAATTAAGGTTAAGATGCTTTATAAATGTTTTGAAATAGAAGCTATAGTCAAAAGCATCCGAAAGTACTGGCTTTGTTGCTTCAAAATTATTGCATTACAATTGAGTTTGCCTGTCCCTTCCCCTTTGATCCAAAGAGCAAACCTAAGTAATTGAATATAAAAAATTGAACTGGATATAAAAGAATTATAGTTTGAACACCTCATTGTCTAGAACAGTATTTCGTCTTATTGTAAAATTCAACCATATTATAAAATAATCTAGGAATTATGCTATAATTCTCAAATATTTGAAATATTTTAGTATTCACATTAATTGTACTGTATTATTCTATGTATTTGACAGAACTAACAGGAAATCTTTGATGATCAGGTTGAGACAATGTTAACATTATTATATTTTTCTTAAACAGGTTTCTAAAATTCTATACCAAAGAGCAATCTCTATTGCTTGGTGTTCTTTAATTCATTAACTTTATATTATTGTTAAGTATGAATTAGCAATTGCTTAGAAATAACATTTCAAAATGCAATTTAATTGACAAAACATTATCCAAATATGCTTTTAAAATACTTAGAATTGACCGAAAACTGCCGTGACCTTCTCTAAAATGCCAAGAAAATATTCATGAGCTTAAGTTTTTTTATTGTATGTGTTTAATATCTTGCATTCCATGAAATATAAACTTTTCCAAATAAGTACAGCAAAGCCAAGTTTTTCTTTCCAAATGATTCTTAGAAATATTACAAGAGGAAGAATAAAAATGAAAGTGTGATGATGTGACTCTTACAAGATTAGAATCAGTGATTATGTTTTTAAAAACCCTAGAGTAGCAGCCCATAGAGCCCATGGCTAGGAGGAGTGAGTTATAGGAAATACCTATAATGGAACCCCTTGGAGGGCAGGGAGAGAGATTTAGTTCTAACTAGCATGAGAGAGCTGGCGAGATGACAGCATTGGTGCATTGGCAGTCTCTACACCTGTGGTGTTGAGAGGCAGGAGCTCAGCCTTATGTTAGGCTGGAGGAGCAGGCAGTCGGGAGCATGCACATTCCATCACGGACACGCTGACTCTGACTCTGTCTCCTCTCCTGCCTGCAGACCACCAGCATGGCATCTCTCTGCTGAAGATCACCAAGCTCTGCTAAAGACTAAGATCTATCTGTTCTAAGAAGACTGCTTTACTCTCTCTAAGATACTCTGTCTCTCTTTCCAGCTAAACTAATAGCCCTCAGGCACCTAAAAGAAACTGTTCCTGGGCAAGGTAGCTTAGTGGTCCGCGTCCAGAACCCACCTAAGCCGGGCCGAGACCTGACCAGTCCCGGGCCCTGATAAGTGGTGTCAGAAGCAGATCCTGAAACTCTAGCCTTTAAAAAGTAGGATTTCCAGCACCAGCAGAGTTCTCAGACTCTCTTGCCTGCTGTTAAAGTGTTTTATTTTCTAGGTTATTTATGAATAACTGATCTTTAAAAGACACAACCTCACAGACATTCTAGTATGGTATTGAGTTTTCCCTTCTTTCTGTTAACTATTTAGTAAAAGGAGTAACATCTACCCTGCAAAGATGGACCCAAATAATGTTTTTCAATTTGTGGCCCACAAATTTGATATGCCATATTTATTCCACCACTTGTATTTTTTCGTAACAATTTCATTTCTGCCTCTCATATACGAAAAGAACTTTGTGTTTCAGACACTACACAAAGGTCTCCCAGTGCTGTATCTAAAGGACAGGATGAAAATGTGTAGGTCTGTGCCCTTGACTTTCCTGACCACTACCTGGCAGTCAGGTGGTGCTCACTGGATTGTTGCTGCATTGCAGTGAACACTTGCATAGAACAACATTGTAACTAGTTCTACAGACTAGTGCAAATTCAGGAGGCATTGAAGGTATGGACAGCAATTACATCAGCATAACTCAAGTCATCCCAATGAATTGGCTGGTTTGGGGCAATAGAACAAAGGTAAAGCCAGGATTTAATTAGTATAAAGTCAGAAGCCATCATTCAATTAATTCTAAATGTTTTCTTAAATAAAAATCCAGATTTTTAAAATGTTTTTTCTTTTTGCAGTTTCTGGCCGGGGCTGGGTTTGAACCCATCACTTCCAGCATATGGGGCCAGTGTCCTACTCCTTTGAGCCACAGGTGCTGCCCAAAATCCAGATTTTTTTTAAAGTCTACATTTTTATCACTGAAGTAGCTTAGAAAAATAGAATTTCCATTAAGGGTATAATAACATCAGATTAACTCAGCTACTAACAACTCCAAGTATTTACATAATCAAATGAGTTCCAAAGAATTTTCATAAGAGGCCAATACTCTGCACAATTCTGACAGGCACGAATTCCAGTGATCATGGCTTCGTTAAATAGCACCAGCCTGGCAACAACACAGTTCAAATTTCAGCAGCCATGGTGATTCACAATTAACCGTGAGTAATTGCATAAATACCAACTTCACTGCCAACTCTCAGTCTACAAACAACTACCAAAAAACCAAACAAGCCTTGTGAGAAGTGTTCACATCACAGCTTTTAGTCTGTGATTGCTCCTTCAACGCGATTCATTCACTTCAGGCACGGGCAGCAAAGTGCATACACTAATTGGGTTGCCTCCTTGTGCCCTGGTGACAAAGCCACATAACATTTTACGAAAATGGACAACTGAGCAAGAACTGACCAACCAAGGTGAAAGTGCACAAAAGAAACCAAAGGGGATAATTAAAATATTAATTTTAATTATTAAGATATTTTTATGTGGTTTGAGTTTGCATTGACTTTTTTTTTATAGAAATGTTTATTATATAGAACAAAAATGGAGGCCTAGAAGAAGTAGCTGACGGTAGGAACATTGATGCTGCCGCTGGTTGGGTTTCTAAATAGGCTACCTGGAACTTAGGGAAGGAAAATGCATCCACAGAAACAAGGAAACTTGATGTGACCAAGAGGAAGAAGTTATTCCCAAAGAAAGAAAAAACGTAAAAACTTCACATTAAATGAATTCTCAGGATATTTCAGGGCATTCAAAGCACAAAGGAAAAAATGTTGAAATCTGATCCAAACTTCTAAAGAAGTAAAACTCGTCAGGGCATGGAAACGATGCTGATGTCCTTTAGAAGGGACAGAAGAAGGCGGCAAACACTGTCCAAAATGCTTTTGCACAATTATTTTCACAATGAAATAAAATGTTTTTATTCTCAATTGTCCTAGTATTTTAAATTATAGTGTACTAAATATAATGTTTTAACTTACAGTCTACTTAAAAAAAATTAGGATTACTATTTTTAAAAAGTCTACAATATATTTACAATCTATGGTTAATGTTTTGACAAACATTTTCAAAGATCATAGTCAGAAAATAATTTTCCTACTGTTTATTAAGATAATTTTGTGTGGTTTGAGTTTGCATTGACATTTTGAGGGTCCCACACTACTTACTAAGCTAGGACTCCCTGTACTCTCTTTTCTATTCTCCAAACCTGTGAAGTAGAAAGACTTAATTTCTCATGTCTTCATTTTAGAAAGCAAACTAATACCTAGGGTGAGTAAGTGACTAGCTGAGTATCACCGTCTCCTGTAGTGTGGCCGGGAGAGGAAATTCTGCCCAGTTTGTGCAATTTCTGGGTCCTAAGAAATTCTTCCCCCAATTCTACTTTTTTTCCCTGGTAATTAAGAACTATTATGGTGAAAAATTTTCAAACACTTACAAATCTGGTCTGTGTGAACCAGTGTTGACATAGGACTGAAAAGGATAGTTTGTCCAGTGAGTGGATCTTGAGACAAATGTGGATGCATTGGATGATGGAGATGACTCCCATCACTGGCAGCACCTATGGAACAGAAAAACGTGCTGTGTTAGTAATATTTCCTCAGAGATGGCAAGTTTACATTGGGGAAAAATGTTTAGATTGACAGCTTAAATACTGCCATTTTTGCAAAGTGCTTCTTGGGAATTCAAAACTAAATTGATGGAACTGCTGCCATATTAAGGATAATGTCAGCGTTCACTGTACATTGGCTAGATTAATGTTGCATTATATCATGTTGTATATTAATAATGGACCTTGTGTGCCATTTCCCGGAATCATTAGGTTTGCTGCCTGTTGTTAAGGCAATTCCAAGAATCACTTACCTCAAGTTTATGGTATCTGGGATCACCCTAAGAGCACGAACGACTTTTATTTCAGAGAGATATCATTATGAACACATTATGAACCAGAAAACTAAAAAAAAAAATGGCGATTTTATAAGGAAATTTAATCTACCTCAGAGCACAAAATAAATGATATTTAAACTTATTCCTGACATAAATTACAGCCATGAGACATACTGTTTATGTCAATTAATTATTTCAAGAATGCAATGTTCGTTTTTAAGCTATGCACTATATATATATTTTAGATTATGCCATGAATCCAGTGTTCTTGGGGTCTTAAATGAGTAAGAGCAAGAAATGACATAATATGCTTCCAAAAGTCCTAAAAATAGGAAATATATTTCTATTTACCCTATTTGGAAGGTTTTGAAAGTTGAAATCAGAAGGACTTTGTGGAGGAAAGATGGTTAGAGGTTGAAAAGAATGGGGAATTTAACCTATTCAAGTATGTTCATTTCCCTCCGGTGGGTTTCGCAGACATTCTAAATGAAAGAAATTGAGTGCATTTTGTCATGGCGGAAGGAAAAAAAGAAAAACAGGAACCCATGTCAATTTCCAAAGTTGAAATAAATATGGAGATAGGTCAACTGTTCTAACATACATAGCACAAGGCTAATCGATAAAACTGAAAGTCTTACACGTACTCACCACCTAGTAGCATTTCCTGAAGTAGGTTGTCAATTTTAACCATCCCCAAAAGTTTGACAAACTGTATCTGCTCAATCATCTGCCACGTGATGCTCTGCAGCGTGGGCAGCAGCAGCAGCAGCTCCCCGAAGCGGCCGCGGGAGTCGTACTGGCGGTCGTTGATGTAGTCCTCCAAGCTGATCTGCACCTGGAACCGCATGTTCTTGATTTTTACTGGGTCACTTAGCCCCTTTGCATCTAATGAAGGAATAACAAGGAAAACCTGAGGATTTCATCTCCTGAGAGTGTGGAAATAAACATTCCCATATTAAAAAGTAGTTCACTCTCTGTCACATTAATTCTTTAAGGGAATTCTGAAAACTGACCTGGGTCAAAAAATACAATCGCTTTCAAACAAGCATACTCGTTGTCATCAATCTGGATTTCTTGAAATGGTCGAACCAGCTCATCTAGAACCCGATTAGCCACTCGACTTATCTCGACCTCACAGCTGTTGCGGTGAATGACGTAGTTGTTCCCTGTGGGGGCAAGAAAAATTAACCACCTCCCCTGGAAACTGTCAGATGTTGTTTCAGATTTTGCAAAATATGTTTAGAATGCTATTCTCCTGAAGGAACAGTGATAGTACTTTCTCTCTCTCAGGGACATTAAATTAGTTATGTCAGAAAAAAATAAGACTACTGACAGTGTGAGTAACATTGATAATATGATCACATGCCTTTTAATAGTCTTGGTCACTGGTTGATAACACAAAAGTACAGACTAATCACAAGCTAATAATTGACAAGGGGAAATGAAAACCTAATGATTAGTTTTCTTCTGTGTCAGTCTCTATGACAGTCTTATTCATTAATGAGCATAACACAAACCCTAAAGAATCTTTCTCCTTCACAGCGGATTGAAAGCAGCCCTCCTTTGATGCTGTGGGCATGTGAAGGAGCAAACATCATTGAAACACAGTTTTCACAAGCCTAAGTAAAGACTGTTTTTAAAAATTAGCACACGTAGGGTAGGGCCTGTGGCTCAGTGGGTAGGGCACCAGCCCCATATACTGAGGGTGGTGAGTTCAAACCCTGCCCCGGCTGAACTGCACCAAGAAATAGCTGGGTGTTGTGGCGGGTGCCTGTGGTCCCAGCTACTTGGGAGAGTGAGGCAAGAGAATCACCTAAGCCCGGGAGTTGGAGGTTGCTGTGAGCTGTGATGCCAGAGCACTCTACTGAGGGCAATAAAGTGACACTCTGTCTCTAAAAACAAAAACAAAAAATTAGCATGTGTATTCTTATAAGTTGCCTCTCTCAGTACAGCCCCTCTTCCTGGTTTCTTTAAATGGAGGTGAGATGACCACTGTGAGGCTGAAGTCCAGGGAATTCAGAAATCGTATAAAGACCTAGAACACCCAACCCCTTAAAATCTTTCTTTCTAATCATTTAGAAATCCTCTGGCTATAAGATAAGGAAATTGATTATAACATCTAAAGTAACAGCTAAATTGCTACTTTCTGATTTTACAAAAAAGCAAAGTATTCTGAAGTCTTTGACTGTAGGCAAAGACAATCTTCAAGGTAACAACGTGTACAAATGTAGCCTCACTCTTTCTTTCATTTTTCTCCAGCTTTACTGGAGTAGGAAGGACAAAAAAAATTGTATATATTTGAGGTAGATAAGGTGATGTTTCAGCATACATATACACTGAGAAGTGGTTACCACAGTCAGGCTGATTAACATATCCAGCACCTCACATAGTTACCTTTTTTTTTTTTTTTTATTTTGATCCTCACTCTTTCTTGTGAAAAGCTAACCTAATTATTCAGGGTAAAACAAATTAGAAATTTATAGTATACATTTTATTTTCTAGGTGTATGGGATTCAATTTCATAATAAGAATAGTATTCTAGGCATTTTTCTAGAAATGCAAAACAATATTTAACAGCATTTTAGACCATGTGGTCACATCATGTAGTTTAGAGACCCGGCTCTATCCTTTTCTGGCATTTTAACCTTTGGCAAATTTCCTCTGTCTCCATTTCTTCACCTGCAAAATGGACTAAAAATAATAATACTTATCACATGGGCTGATTTCAAGAATTAAGTGAGAAAGTGGGTATGTATGTGGAAATCACTTAGAATAATGCATTTACAAATATGCCCTCAGTAAATGAGAACTATTATTATATATGTTCAATACATTTCATATTTGGGCCAAAACATCTGCTGCAAAAATTAAACAATCCAGTCATCAGTTCACACAAGACAGAGAAAGGCAAAGCTAGTATTAGAAGATCTCAGCCCTCAAAACCTAATTTTATCAGTTAAGGAATGTGGGGACCTTGGAGCAATCACTGAAGACAAAAGCCTGTCCTTTGTGTCCCCACACGCCCTCTGTCACCTGTCATCCTCCTTTTCCCTCTTATACCACTCCTATCGGAAGTTCTCAGATGACGCCCCCTTATTTTTATTTGATTATTTTGTAAAATATCATGGGTAATGAGATCATAGGAGATAAATATGTTTCTTAAAAGTGCATAAAATAATTATTAAGAAGACATTGGTGGAGTTTTCAAAAACACTGGAACGCATAACACAGTCATAAAAATCACTAATTCTCTGTCCTGACAAGATTTAAATAGACCTCAATATTATGTTTATTGAGCAACATCTGTTTTTTATTTTTACATCTTAATGCTCTCTGATCATCTCATGCACTCTGAGCTTACATGCAATCAAGGCGAGGAAAAAATCAGGCCTAGTGAGAATACAATTAACTTCAATCTGTGAAGCGAGAGCAGCATTTGATGGTGTCTGTAAATGCTTTGCACATACAGAATAGATCCTGCATATTACTGTAAAGATAAAATGTGCATAATTTCTTTTTAAATTAAAAACATCTTACCCAAAAGCAAAATATCTTTATACATCATGGATCTCTTTGTGGCTCCAAGCAATAAGTGTTCCCCGGCGTGAGCTCTCAATAGTGCCACCTTAATGAAAAATTCCAAGTTTGACAATTAATTATAAAATACAACGATTAAAAGATGGCATACTAGAAGTCTGATTAACTTGCAGTGTTCTTAAGACTGGAACATTTTTTTCAATTTTAGCAAATTATAATATTCACAGATACTTGCATGACCAGCCTTCATCATCAAGCCTTCTAGATTTCTGTCTTAGCGTGTCAATAGAGTTTACTTTTCAGAATTTCTAAAACTATCTAATGAGTCAATACAATGGCAGTGGAAAAAAGCAGTCCGTTAACTGTTTTGAAGGGAAACAGAATCAAGACCAGACAGAGCTCCAATCCCACCTTGTCCATTTGGTACCTGTTTAATCTCAAGCAAGTTATCTGGTATGCTTGGGACTCAATTGTTTTAATCTATAAAATGGGCTTATTGGCCAGGTGTGGTACCCAACCTTGTAATCTTAGCATTCTGGGAGGCCAAATTGGGGGGATTGCTTGAGTTCAGGAGTTCAAAATCAGCCTGAGCAAGAGTGAGATCAATCTTTACTAAAAATTTGAAAATTAGCTTGGAATGGTAGCAAGCACCTATACTCCCAGCTACTTAGGAAGCTGAGGCAGGAGGATCACTTACACTCCGGAGTTTGAGGTTGCTGTGAACTCTGTCTCCAAAAAAAAAAAAAAAATGGAGTTAGTAATAAAAAAAAAATCTCAAAGTATATGAAAGGTGTGCAAGGACTAAATGACAGAATGTGTGTTAGACATAATCTCCTAGACAGAGTAAGCTGAATAGACAAAAGCAAGAGAGGACAAGTAGTGAAAAGAAAACGCAGGGCTGAGTTCTGCCACTGTCTAGACAGAATCCGTAACTCTTTACAGCAAGCTCTCAGTTGAGCTTCACCCATGTACTGGATTACCTGCTGGACATCACCACCAGGAAAGTACAGAAAACATTTCATGTCTAACGTATATCAAAGTAATGCTTTCCTGATTACTTCATCATCTTAGCAAATGGTACTGTAAATTCAAGCATTTGTTCTTATCAAAATAAGAGTTTAGCCAGCTGGTCCTAGTGTTGCTTCTCAAAATATAAGCCAAATTGATCCACTTCTTTCCATCTCCATTGCTATTACTCCAGTTCCGGCCTGTACGATTTATTACCTGGACTACTGTGATACGCCCAATAGGCATTCCTGCTTCCTTTCTGGTTCTTCCATCCTAAATCCTTCTTAAAAAGAACTTCCAAGATGATATTTGTAAAAGAGAAATCACTTAATGTCACTCCTCTGCTAAATTTTTTCAATGGTTTCCTAAGGTCCTTAGCACAAAATCTGAACTCCTCAACCCTGGTCTCCGGGGTGAGGCGAGTGGTGGAGGAGGGTCAGTGCTTGCCACTAGCTCTCTCATCTCTGACTTCATTTCCAACACCTCTTGTCTACACAGTTCCTGCCTGACTCAGAACCGAGGCAGGAACTTGCTCTTCCTGTACCCTGAGATTGTGGAGTGCCTGGCCCCTTCTCATCAGGTCCCAGAGACCCCCCCCCACTCATCCCCACGTTGAAGCATCTCTTAGTGTCCCACTCCCATTCATTGACAAGGAACTCATCGTATTCCACTTTACAGACCTTATCCCTGTCTAGAATTCTCTTACTCACAATTCGTACATATTTTTATTGTCTGGCTCTCCCAAATAGAATGCAAACTTGATGAGAATAGGAAGGCAACCTGTACTTCACACTAAACACCCATAGTTCCTAAAACTGAACAGTAGCCTTCTGGTAGATATTTGTTTGAATAAAATTAACTGATGTAGGATTCAGTTTTATAAACTATAAACTGGAGTCGATAATACCTATGCACAGGTGAATTAAATAAAAATTTAATTTATAATGCAAATAAAAGCTACTTTCTCATGGACTTTATCCAAATTAGATATTCACAGATTCATGCTACACTGTTGATAATATTCTACCAGTTAGCAAATAAAAATAGTTTTTGGCTGCCTACTGGATTTCAATTTCCCAATTTTAAAGTTATTGTCTGCATACACAAATCACTACTTCTAAAGAAAAGTGATAATAAACATATAAAACTGATAAAAAACATAATCCTACTTATATTGCTTGGGGTGAGACTGGTAGGTTTTAGCAATTTAGCATAGTTCACTCTGGCATAACCTTGTGAGCCAAGCTATCTTTACGATATGTCAATGACCGTGACTCATACCAGGAAGGCAGTGGTAGAACATTTAAAAAATGATTTCAGATTTCACAGTATTTTTTTTTTTTTCTGTCACCAGGTGAAATGCCTTCTTAAAATACAACTGCTAACTTCGTATGATGACTTTGTTTCTTGGCTGTGGAACTCTTTTGACCTTCTTTGATTTTCACACAATTATGTCCTTTCCCCTTAGATTGTTTCTTTCTTTTTATGGATCAAAGACAGAGACCCCTGACCTGAGGGTGTTTAAATACACACTGGGTATAACACTTAACGGCTAATTCAATGTGAGATAAATGGAAATTTTCAAATGATTTTCATCTACAAAAAATTATACACTACTGAATAAGAATAGGCCAAAATAGACGTCAAACAGCCAGTCTTCACAAACTAATTATGAAATTCATGCTCCTATTAATTAAAATATCTTAATGTACATATGACAAATTATGAAGATGTATTAGGAAACGATCACTATTTCTGAATTCTCTGTTTCTCTGTAAATTTCAGATAATGCTTCTACAGGCTTTTTCAGACATATGAATTTTATATAATAAATGTTAGAATAAAATGGACAGCGTGAAAGGCAAAACTTTCTTTGTCAGTTGCATGAGGTGCCCACAAAGACACCACTAACAAATCCTGTGTGGTTTCCATCTACGAATGGCCTGGTATTTCTGAGGGATTTTATATGGCATCTTCAGGAGTCATCAAGACTCAACAGTGCACCATTTCCCTTCCAGACACTCATTCTTAGGCTACTTTATCACACAGTGGGGGTCACTTGCTGTCTGTCTTTCTCCCTCACATAAGCCTTTTAAACTCCAAGTCAACTCCAAGAGGACTGAAGAGTGAAAACACTTGTCCAATCAATGAAGTTGCCAGACCCCTAAACTAGAAGTCGAACAGTCGAACATGCCTCTTGATAAAACACGATCAATGAACAAGAACACCACATTCTTTCCTCATCAGATACTTAACCCTTTGTCAAATATAACGACATTGTATAAGCATTATGAATTGATTTGAAAGAATATAAGAACTTAGCAAAGTTCAGAAAACATTTTTAAAACGTTCGTTATTTTTTTTAAACTTTTACCTGATCATCCAATGGTAACTCACAGAAGGCAGGAATATATTTAGCCCATTCCACCAAGACTAATAGCTGCTGTTTCATAGATTCACAGACATCACCAATACTTGCGATTTTCTTAACATTGATATCAGTGCTTGCCCCAGGGCTTGAGACTGAGATCTGGCATTAAGAAGAACACTATATTAACTTACCATTGAAAATCACACGTGGCCAATATTCTCTTTTGTCTTGTGACGTAATAAGAAAACACAATTAAAGCAAATAAATGGTATCACTGTCACAGTATCTTAAAACATACTAAGCATTTTTTCATTGAGAAGTTAGATGAAAAACTTCCAACATATAAGTTACAGTGATCTGTAAACTAAGTTACCACAAGTTTTGGAGAGTTTCACAATTCAAAGGGCTACATAAAGAGATAGGTAGGAGCCACATAAAGTATGCTATGACTTTCTTTTTTAATTAAAAATGATATTATCCTTAAGGAAGTCCATCTTCTAAGTTCATGGAGAAATGTTTGCAGGGGATAAAGTTTACCAAACTAGGAAGAGCTTTAAACGGGAAGCCAGAACTATTATGTTTCATGGAAGCTGGTTAAAATAAAATTAAGAAACAAAGGCTTGACTCAGCATGTTGAAAGACTTAATATATAATGATACATTTTTAAAACTATATATAATTTTCAACTATATACTACATAAAATACAATTGGATTAGAAAGTTGTTCTACTGAAAACACAGTCTGAAAGTTTTTATGCCCTTAGCTTTTGAATGTTCATATGTGTTTTTATAGGTATCTGGATACTTCCTCACACACACCCTCCCCCCCGAAGGCAGTTTCTAAATGCTTTATTGGATCATCAAGTAATCTGCAAGTAATGATGATGATAACTGTGATGTCCACATCATCATATTGCCCTCGTGTTATCAAAAAGGAAAGCAAGGCCAGGTGCGGTGGCTCACACCTGCAATCCTAGCTCCCTGGGAGGCTCATGCAGGAGGATGGTTTAAGCTTAGGAGCTCTAACCAACCTGAGCAAGAGCAAAAACCTGTCCCTACAAAAAATAAAAGTATTAGCTAGGTGTCGCGGTGGGCAACTGTAGTCTCAGCTACTCAGGAGGCTGAAGCAGGAGGACTGCTTAAACCTTGGAGTTGGATGTTTCAGTAAGTTATGATTGATGGTGCCATTGCCCTCCACCTAGGGCAACAGAGCAAACTCTGCCCCCTATGCAACCCCCCCAAAACTAAACCAGTTATCACACTGACTCATTATGGGACGTGATTAGCTTCTTGGCTATTTCATGATTTGCTTTATAATAGAAGAGTATTATTACCATGTCTAACAGGGGCAATGCTATGGTGAACCTGTTTTGTTTTGTTTTTGAGACAGAATCTCAAGCTGTCACCCTGGATAGAGTACTGTGGCATCACAACTCACAGCAACCTTCAAACTCCTGGGCTTAAGTGATTTTCTCCCCTCAGCCTCCCAAGTAGCTTGGACTATAGGAGCCCACCACAATGTCTGGCTATTTTTCTTTTATTATTTTTTGCCATGGTTGTTTTAGCTGGCCCTGGGCTGAGTTTGAACCTTCCAGCCTCAGTGTATATGGCTGGCACCCTACCCACTGAGCTACAGGTGCCACCAGGTGAACCTGTTTTTAAAAGAATTCTTCATTTGATTCTAAACGACAACTTTATTTTTAGCTTTACAACGATATTCTCATGTTGTAAGTTTAAAGCTTTCTTTCTCCTGTGTTTTCTAAATCCTCGCTTTTCATATATTAAAAAAAAATCTGTTTCTAAAACAGATGCCTAGATGACTTCTTGAGTTCACAAGTCAGTTTTCAAGGAAAGAAATTCTGATGATCGGTCTCAACCAAACTCCCCAGAAGTTGCAGTAGCTGACTTTACAGATTCAACCAAAAAAATAAAATGCTGCCCCAGAGCATTGTGCTATGCAGTAAGTATTTTTATTGATTTTTGTAAGCAAACTTTTTTCTAATCATCTGACACTCAAATTAATTTCAATTTTTTCACTTAGAAAATAGTCTTGTCCAGGAAAAGTGAAAATTAATTCAGTAGTCCCACTAATACTTTTTAAGTAAAACTCCTGAATTGGTATAGATGTCATTTATTCTGAGAATGAGCACATTTGAATGAACTAGGATTATGTTAGCACGATGTTTAAGGGGTCGTTTGATTCTTCTAAACAGGGCCGGACGGTGGTGTGTGGAGGGTACCTGGCGAGACCGAACTTCTGCTTGTGCCAGTGTGTTGATGGACGGGATGTTGCTGCCGTCAAATGTGCTTCTTCTGGTGCTTATTCTGTCACGCTCATTCTGCACAGCTGGGGAGCAAATCACGGTGTTTATTGGTAAGTTCTCTTTTATACACACATACACACATATGTGCATCAGAATATACAGTTTGAAATTAATATATATGTAAAGCAAGAAAAGATCTTCCTAAAAGACCTTGGTGGGAGAAAGTAAAACTGTAAGTATTTTCATTCTGTCCCACTCTCAAATAGTCAGGCTTGTCACTAGAACGCAGAAAACATTGCTGCTTGGGACCTCATGGCAGCATGCATGCTAGAAACTGTTGGGTCAGCTGGTTCTACTACACTGTATCTTCATAGCTTGGGTTTCTGTTCTCTCAAAGTTAATAAAACTATGCGATAGCTAGGGGAAGAGCATTGCCTGTGAGACTGACCAGGTCAAAGATAAGAGTGAATTCATCTCAGAAAATATGACTCAAGAGATTTCAAAACTCCCATTTTCTTTTTCCTGTAAAACACTAGCAAAAATAGAAAGTAAATTTATTTTAGTTATGATGATTTGAAGATTGCAGTATTATGGTATCTTATAAAGCACCATCCTTGGGACAGTTCACAAACATTAATAAAGCAAAAGTTGACCTAGGCAGAGGTCTCTTCTGAGAAGATTAAAGTTTGACTACCAGGACTTTGGAAAGGTGATAAAATCCTACATATTACATGTAAAATGTCTAAGAAGATCTATCTTTGCTTTTTTATTATAGAAAGGAATAAAAGAATAATGTATATTCCCCAATCCCTCATTGACGGCTACATTTTTAATATAAAAAAGAATGAGAGGGGGTGTATTAACTTGTATATTTGTCATATAGAAAATTAAATAAATCAGATATTGTAGTTGAATTTCAAATTTCAGGAGGTAAAATTATCTTCCATTAACCTCCCCCCACCAAAAAACACCCCCCAAAACAAACCAAAAAAAAAAAACCAAAGCCTGTATGCCTTAAATTATTTAAATTAATGTGATCTTCTAGAAAAATAAAGCATTAAACTATTTAATTGTTTTCTTCAGTTATTCTTTTATTAAATGAATCCCCAATTTAAACACCAAAATCTTGCAAAAAAGACACAAAAGTTACTATTGATTCTCAACTCCATTAAATTAGAAGATAAAAATAATATACTTTTTGCCTTTAAGAAAGCGTGAGTAGTAGTCTTTCATCCAAAGTAAGGCATTAATATTTTGTTTTAAAATCCGACTTACTAGTTCCTTAGTCTTTTTTTAAACAGGAATTGTTATTGCTTTTCAACCTAAACTAACCCATTTGCTAAAGCATGTGTGGAGATAAAACAATAAGCTGTTAGCTATGCTTTTATGAATTTCATTTACATGATCATTCTTGAGAAAAGTGTCAAAAGATATTGTGAAAATTTATATTTTGAGTGGTTTCATCCTTTACATAAAACCATATTTACAGTTGTTTCTCTCTTAATTGATCTTGCAATTATGCTATGATTGTGAGGAAGAAGAATACATCAATTTTGAAGTTCAGAAGTTACTTTCTAGTCTATTTGAGAAAATTAATGTGTTAGTTCCTAAAAAGGTATAATTTCACTATTCTTAAACATAATTGTGTTGCCCAAATTATAAAGCTCATAAAGAAAATGTGAGAGTGTGATTTGCTTGCACTCTGTAAAGGTAAAGAGAGGATTCGAGCAGAAATACGTGAAGGTACGGACAAAGTGTGTAATCAGCCCCCTAAACTGCTACACAGAGCTTTTTATGACCTTAGAAATAAGTCACTTTTGAAACAGGAAAATGCTCCTCCATTAATTTTGTGAACTTTATATTTTGTTACTCTTCTCTGAAGCTAGCGACCTGAGCAAAACTAATGGAAGTTTTGCATCTTTAAAATATTGATAACAAATGCAATTAATGTATCCTAATCATATGTACCCTTATATTGATCTGAAATTTTAAAAAGAAAGAAAAACATGTATATTGAATGACCAAGTAAAAGACTATGTTTAAGATGAGTTTGATATATTTTAAATTTCTGTACTATGTGGATTCGATTTAATTTGATTTTTAATCATTTGTGAAATAGTTGTGAAAATACCTCTTTGTACATGATGGGGAAGGCTACAAATCTGACAGGTGTACGATCTTACAGCTTCTACATCCTGCCCAATATTCAGACTGTGCTCCTCACATTGGTTTCTAAATTAATCCACATTTAGAAGGCAGGAAAATATAATCCAATTATTTAATTTGTTCAAAATAAAATTAGGGCACACGAAGATAGCACATCTAGTCTATTGTCTCTGTCCCTCAATAAAGTATAAACTCTGTGAAAGAGAAGATTATTTTGCCTCTTATGTTCTCTATTGAAACCTCAGCCCCTAGAACAGTGTTTAGAAATTCGTAGCAGTGTTCAATAATGATTTTTTAAATTAATGCATGAAAAGTAGATGTTCACTTAAGATTCATGAAATGAATAAAGATACTCAATTTTTATTAGGAATAAAATGTGTTTAAAATATAAGTTCAACTGAATGGTAGATTTTTCCATTTGTATTTCTACAGGACATCGGAATGTTACTTAGATAATCATTTTCTTGCCAGAAATAACAGTGATGGAGACTATCCATCTGTTATCCATGACTATCTGGTCCATAATCAGATAGTCACCCAATAAAGACTGACTCCATCAATTACCAGCTGGATGTTCTTCGGCTAAATTCTTTGCCACGGAATCTTCATTAATAAATTGAGGAAGATGAGAACAGATGGGAAAAGGTTATTGTGATTGATGAAGATTTGTGTGTATGTTTATCACTTTTCATTAATAACGTTAATTATCATCATTATTATTACCTTCTTTCTTCATTCCTGCTCTAAAACACTTCCTCAGTCGACAATATCTACATTGATTTCTTTTGTCCTTGTCAACAACACATTGCCGACTGAACCTATAATATCAAACAAAGATATGTTAGTTTTCCGAAAACTATTCAAATAGACAAATAGATTTGAAATAAATAAGGTCAACCTTGACTTAATAGAAAGAATGAGTAAGAACAATTAACGATGACCTTTCTATTTCATGATCAACATGTTCGTGGAAATATGGGCCTTGCCCTCCACGCAGTGTTTATAGGATGACTGTCTTGTTTTTGGCCAGCATGCATAGCCATTGCTGTCATGAGTCATGAGAGCCAAACCTAGCTTTAAAAATCTTTCGTATATAAATTCTTGCTGCTCATTGTGAAATGATTTCAGTGTGATAGAGAATACAGGAGAGCTTGATTCATGGACTTAGATGTGTTTCTCTGTTCAGTTATTCTATTAATGTTACATGTACCTCATATCCAGCTAAAGTTGACTCTACATGCTCAATTACTTATCAAAAGGCTGTTGAGAATGGCATTGAGAATATAGTCTCTGCATAATGAGGTCCAGTTCGCACCCATTAGGATGGCTGTAATTGGAAATAGACACAACACCAGTGTTGGTGAGGATATAGAAAAATTGTAGTCCTCACACATTGCTGGTTAGACTGTTAGAAGATGCCTTGGAAGTGTGTCTGGCAGTTTATCAGAAGGACTGGCTCTACCCAAAGAAAGTCTCGAAAAGACAGTCTCCATGGAGTTACCGTATGACCTGAAAATTCCATGCTGGGGCCATACTCCAGGGATTTGGAAACATTTGTCCACAAGAAAACTTGTACCTAAATGTCCATAGCAGCATCATATTAGTCCAAAAGTGGAGAGAGCCCAAATGTCTATCAGCTGATGAAAAGGTAAACAGAATGTGGATACCCGCCCAATGAAATAGTATTTGCCAAAGAAAGGAATGAAGAACTGATAAATGCTACAACATGGATGGACTTGGCGATTACTCGTCCATTCTACATGTAGGAAGCCAGACATGAAAGGCCACAGATTGCATGATTTTATTTACAAGAAATGTCCAGAAGAAGCAAATCTATAAAAACAAAGGTAGCAATTCTCTCATTTGCCTCAGATTGTTGGGAAGGGAGTCGGGGGGAATTGGGAAGTAACTGCTTAGGGGTTTCTTTATATAGTGATGAAAATATTCTAAATTAATTGTAGTGATGGTTGCACCTGTCTGTGAATACACTAAAAACCTGACCTGTACACTTAAACAAAGAGTACAAGCTCTGGAATTAGGTCTGGGCTTGATTCCCAGGCCCAACATTCATTCTCAGTAGAACTTGGAGATGTTAAATAACATAAACAGGAGAAGGACTTGCTGCAGTGGTTGTAGGATGCACTTTAAGTAGTTGGAGGTGAGTCTCAAGCACGTGGTAAACAACGCCATTTCTTTAGGATTCTGCCATAAAACTCCTCGTATCTATTAATATATCCCTGGTAAGTTGCAGTTGATTAAGTATAAGAATAAAGGCAAATGTTTATTTTATGACCTATCAAAAGATTTCTTCTCAAAAGTATGGGTGGCCACTTAAAATTGAATGAGAAGTAAAGTCTACCATAAATAAATAAAGGTAGAAGAAAAAGCTGCTTTAGAACACATTTGTGAAGGCAGGGAGATCAGGAGAGGAGACTAGATTACCAGAAAAAAACAACATGCAGAATCTATTCAATTAATGTTAAATTAATGACAAAAATTAAATAAACATTATTAAGCACCTTCACTGTACAGGCTCCTGGTATAGGGATTAAGCAGATGAATCCTAGCTGTCTCCTCCATGCAGGGAAGTTACACTCTGCTAGAGCACACCAAGATGTACAAATTTTAAAACAGTCACTTACAAGAGTATAATGTGACGAGTATTGAAACAGTAATTCAGAGTGCTCTGGGAGGGCAAGCCTCACTTCAGTGTGATGGAGCACTGGGAGTGGAAATGCAGTTTGGAAAGTTACAGAAACGGATAAATTTGAAACCAGAAAAACCTGAGCTTAAAAAAAAAAAAAAAAACCTTGATGCTCCTTAACTTCCACAAATATACTAAGTGTTTTCCAAAAGGAAAACCAAACCATTTGCTTAATACCGAAATACATAAAGAAAGCTAGCTTGGCAGCAGCATTCGCCATGGTGCGGGGAGGTAAATTGTACCTGTTGCCAGAACACTTTTAAAACGTCTGAAAGCTGCTGTGGCGAGCTCTGCTTTTTGCCTCTTCCTAAGCAAGGAGAGTGGAAGCGCTGGTGGCAGGGATCCTCTGATGCTTACAGATTATTGCTTTTAGTTCTTTGCCTTGCCATTTTTTTATGAGCGTATTTGTATTTCACTTTTAACAGAACTTGCGACTCAGAAAGCTTTGTTGGCTTATTGTTTTGTATTTATTTTAGTTGTGAATTTTAAGGAGCATTCACTGTGTTATGTAATCACAGAGAAAACCTGTTTTCTGAAGGAAATTGATACATTTTTCACCTCTAGAGTTTTGATGTCTATGAAAGCAAAACTCATCTAAAAACTCTTTTTTGTTTACCACGTAGTTTTAAAGTGGGTGATTTGCTTTTCTTTTAACCTACCTCAAACTGTCCTGGAAAAATTGCTAGAGAAAACTAGGGAGGTATTTGGAGAGTTATCTATTAACTTTTATTACACCCTGAGAAATCAAATAACAGTGTTTTAAGAGAGTTAAGTTCTCAAATGTCCAACCTATTCTTAAAACAATGTAATACTACACATGCTTTTTCATTGATAGAGAAAGCACCCATTTGTTTTTGTTAAACCCACCATTTTTGTTAATAGGCCATGTTCCAGTTGGATGTAATCTTCATCTGGAACTGTCCTGCTGATCAATTAAGCATCAATATGTATACTTAAACTGTGCTATGATGTTACCTGGGTATCAATTATTTAAAAACCAAGAAAACACCTTGCTAGAAATGTTTGTCACATAGAATAGCTGAATAAACATTAGACAAAGCATTTAAATTCAACGGCAAAGATGGGCATGAGAAATCAATTTTAAATTGTAGAATTGAAAATTGAATTTCACTCCCTGACATCAACAAGCTACCAAAATTATCTGCACTTTTATAATTTTTGTAACAGACTTGGAATGTAATTGTGCCAAAAAAAAAAAAAATCAATGTACAGAAAAATACACGTAGTGGAAAAAGAATTAAATTAAGATTTTTAAAATGTTTAAAAGTACATTATGTATGAAGGTGAAGCACAAGAATAAGGAAACACAAGGAAAATATCAACACGGGCAGTTACCTCTAGGAAACAAGAGAGAAAGAGAAAATGTTAGGAGAGGTATCCACTACAGGTTCAACTATATCCATCTAAGGTGGGTGGTAGAGCTTTTTTTCTTTTTTTTTCTTTTTTTGGCCAGGGCTCAGTTTGAACCTTCCACCTCCAGTATATGGGGCCAGTGCCCTACTCTTTTGAGCCACAGGTATCACCGGATCTTTTTTTTTTTTTCTATAGATCTTTTGTAAGTCTAAAATGTATCATTAAAAAAACCCACTTATTTGAACACATCCTGCAAACATACCCGCACATCCTCACTTGCATTACAGCTAGGCAGTTTTAGTCATTGAGTTATAGATATAAAAAGTCTCTCAATTTTCATCCCTAACTTCGTGCATGCTGCTTTGAAACACCTCTAAAGAGACTTTCCTAAAAGTAGCCTTGCAAGTACCTGCAGGAATAAATGTGACTCTTGCGTATGCTGCGTCTGAAGAAGCCCTTGCACCCATCGCAGCTGGAGGCTCCGTAGTGCTTTCCTGTGGCTCTGTCCCCACATATAGCGCATAGACAGTTGACACCGTTGTCTGAGGTGTTCATGCTTGTCGTCTCTGGGGCAGAACTATCTGTTAAAGAGAAGAGAAGAGGCGAGTTAGCATCCTTTCTGATTAAATCAGCCTATCAATTATCTATGTGTACCGTTGACTTCCTGGGGACCTCACACACTGCTTTCCTTTTACCCACTGGCTGCCCTCACTCCAAGCTCCCCTTTCGTATTTAGGACCCTGAAACTTTACGACATCATCAGGCCCAGTCCAACAACTATCTTTCCCAAGGGAAGCTCCTCCAGCCCCGAGACATTAAATATCATCTGTCTGATGAAAAATCTCAGTATTTATCTGTAGCCTTAATGTCCCCCCGGGAATCAGTCTGAAATGCCTGAGTACTGTTGAAGAACGTCTCTTGAAAATTAGTGTCATAATCAGAACTCTTGACTTTCCCCTAGTACTCGCTCTTCCTTCAGCCTTCCCCGTGTCAGTCAGCGGCCCCGCCAGCACCTGGAAGGAGGAGTCTTCCTGGTATTCTCACGGCCAGCCTTCATTGCCAATCCATGACTTTGTCCACACTTAAAATACATTTTTAATATACAACTTTTGGCCCTTTCACCATGACAACCCTTATTCAATTGGCCATTATTTTCCTCCTGGATTACTGCACTAGCGTCCTATCTAAACAATAAACCCTATTGTTTATTCATTACCTCCAGGCCACCAAAGTGATCTTGGTGTGAGAAGTACCCATCCTGTACATCACATCGTCAGCCTTCTGCACCTAACCCTGCCGCCACTTGTCACTAGACACGGAGTAAAGTCTACACACTTTATGTCAGGCCCGGGACGCTCTGCTGATGAAGCCCCAGCCCCCCCCCCCTCTGAGCCCCACATCTGGTGTCTCTTTTCAGCCAGTTTACTATTCTCCAGAATATTGTCTTTTTTCTCCACTGAACCCTATTCACATCTCAGCACTTGTATACTTACTGTTCCTTCTGCCTGAAGGACAGTTCTCCAAATTATTCTTTTAGCTGGCTATCAGGTTTATGTTCAAATCTCAGATTTTGTATGAGACGTTCTCTGAACACACCTCCCATCTTCCTCTCAAGTAGAAAATAGAGCCCTGCTTACTCTTTTTAATAACTTCATTACATTATTACTGGTTTGTTAGTCATTATTCATTTTAATACATAGACTATAAACTCCATGATGTCAGACAATTTATACGTTTTGTTGATTCCTTCTGTTTTACAGATCTTAGAATTATGTCCAGCATATAGTGGGCATCTAATAGACAGTTATGAAGAAAGGGTCATTTAAAAAACTATATATTTTTGGGCGGCACCTGTGCCTCAAAGGAGTAGGGTGCCAGCCCCATATACAGGAGGTGGTGGGTTTTGGACCTGGCCAAAAACTGCAAACCCCCCCCCCAAACTATATATTTTTACTAAATAAATATTTCTTAAATGAGTTAACACTGTTGATTACAACTAAAAATATGTATGATCTCAAAATATATTGAATATGCAATATATGAAAAATTTAATTATCAACAAATGCATAATAATATAAAGACAAATCATTATTATATTTCTAATATTAAAAAAGGATAAAATTAAAGGTTGTCATGCCCCAATTAATTATGTAATGTTACTTACATTGTACTTACTAATACTTCTGAGTAAATAAAATTTTATGTATAATTTCATCAATTTGTAAAAAAATATTAATGAGAATATGCTTAGATTAGTCTGAGGCATTATAGAATTTAAATGCTACAAATTTTTGTTTGAGTAACATTAACAAAATTGATATTGGCAATATGGAAACTGGAAGTGCTGGGAACTGATTGTTTTCTGGGAAATTAGATAGAAGTATAAAAATTCTACTCTCTCTTCAAGTTTAACCCATATTTATGTAATATTAACATACAAGGAAATAAGCAGCACTTTGGAAATAGCCATATGAAAATTTTTTTAGTATATTTTGGTAAATATTTATGGCAAATCTGTCCCTACCCTTTATGAATCATATCTTTCTTTTAACGTTATTATGACAATGAAATAAATATTAAATGTCTCTGACAAATCTAAACATAATGAATCAAAATAGTGACTTTCCAGGGCAGCATCTGTGGCTCAAAGGAGTAGGCGCCGGCCCCATATGCCAGAGGTGGTGGGTTCAAACCCAGCCCTGGCGAAAAACTACAAAAATAACAAAAAATATACTGATTAAAAGAAATAGTGACTTTCCTTTACACTATGGGTTCATTGTAACTCTGCTAAAATTTCAGAATTCATCTTTTGGCAGTTTGTAAAATCTTCTTACTAGTAAGCTATTATGTATTAGAAATATAACCAGAACATCAGTCATATAAATTATAGAGTATAGTAGAATATTTAGATATCCTCGGTATAAGATGTATTCTTAATTTTCAACTAACCACAGACACACAGACACACACACACACAGACACACACACACACATACACATTTTTCAAAGCATGTATAATTACTAGATGTTCCAACAGTTATATTTGGGGCAAGATTTTTACTTGGGAAAAAATTCTACATGCAAAGTCAACAGTAAACGGTATTACATAAAGACACAACCCTCAACAACTCATGTCTTATTTAAAGTTAAAATGTTACAGTAGACAAACACCAAGAGCTTTGTGGGGCTAAACATTAGCTTCTCGAGTGAGGTTACAATATAAACCTTATTCCCCTTCATATTTGTGCTCAATGCAAAACTTGATAGTACTTTTGGATGCAGTTTCTCATCAACAGCAATTGAAAACTAAAATAATGAGAGGAGTAGACAATCAGCACAACTCCCCAGTGTTCTAGGGAAACTTTGTTCCATTTTAAATGTGGACTAGGAAACATACTTTTACAGCCTATCTGACAAGAGTACTTATTCCTATGCTTTTCAGCAAATAAAATTCATGGCTGACATTACTCTTTTTACTTCTGTAACTGGCTCACAACAGAATCCTGAGGATACTTTAACACATAACCAGGATTTTTCTATCTCTAACATCAAATAACTACAGTACTGCTAATTCCAATTTTTGGATGACGTGCGAAAGATCAGACTTGTGGCCTTAAAAACCAAGCCCTAAACTCTCCGGCAATAAACCAAGGAGCTGCCACCTTGGGAAGCTCAGTTTTGCTTCTCCCATCACATTTACTCTGCTTTACATCTATAAACGGATGAGAACTCACCGTTTGAATTGTACAGGATCTGCATGGTATCAAACTCCAAAGTTGTGTAAGTTGGGTCCAAAACTTCACTGTAATTTGCCATCTCCATATCCAGTATTGGTTCCGATACCCTCATCATTGATTTAGAACAAGTCGCACCACAAGCCCCGAGTGTGAGTTTTCCTTTCAATCCGAGAGTGATAATCCAAAGTTAACTGTAACTGAGTGACTTCAGAGCTGCAGTGGGTGGGGCTGTCAAATTGTAACTTTCCTCAGCAGGACATATTATGCTTATTTCTCCCTCTTTTATGGCATACGAAAGCAATTCCTTGTGATAATGTTGGAATGCTTCGCAGAATCACCTTATCTTGAAGTGCTTAGTGGACTAACCTGATTTCCTAAATTGATTTTCCAGTAGACTGTAAGTCATGTCATTAGGAGAAGGGTTAAAAATAGAACAGAGAATCTCTTAGATTTTAAACTGTAATCATAATGTCAAGTATCCTACTTCAGGGCTGAAGTCACATTACTACATTTTCTAAAATATAAGACAACCATGAATGCTTAACATAAGCACTTAACAGGTTCAAGTTTTCTTACACGTACAATAAAAGCTACCTTTATTTTGAAATAAAATTTATAATTTGGAGTGGGAGGATTATGATATATTCTAGTAGCACCCTGGGTATGACCCTAATGTGGCATTTAACATGGTCTTTTTTTTTTTAATTTTTAGTTTTTTGAGACTGAGTCTCACTCTGTTGCCCTGGGGAGAGTGTTGTGATGTCATAACTCAGAGCAACCTCAAACTCTTAGGCTCAGGACATCCTCTTGCTTCAGCCTCACGAGGAGCTGGAACTACAGGAGTCTACAACAACACCCGGCTAGTTTTTCTGTTTTTAATGGAGTCAGGGGTCTCCCTTTGCTCAGGCTGGTTTCCAACTCCTGCAACTCAGGTGATCCACCTGCCTCAGCCTCCCAGAGTGCTAGGATTACAGGTGTGGGCCACCATGCCTGGCTAACATGTTCTTGTTAATTATCAATGTAAAAGTCTGTGTTCCTTCCATGCTTGTATACTGCTCAAGGGCAGAATCAGTAGAGTTGCTAGCATATTGTAGACAATCAACAATTAATTGTTCCACATATAAAGTTTGAGTGCTGATGCTTATTACATTCTAGGTATGATGTTGAGGTTAAACCATCCCTAGGGTGTGGATCTAAACACCTGCGATCATCAACCTTCACCTACAGAGCACAGTGTAACTTTTATATGTGTAGGTCATGACAAACAATTAGAGTTTGGGAATTTTTAGATGATAGTATTTAATGAGTACGTTCTACTTCTGAGAACGTGTTTATTGATTTTATTTTCCAAGAAAAATCCAGCCCCACCTACAGTATAAATTCAGAATTTCATTTTTCATACTTGTTAAAGATGATAACAGAGAAATATTTCTTGATACCATAAAACTTGTGAATCCTCCACTTAGAAATTATTGTAATTTTCACGCAGGAAAGCTGGCCTCTTAAAATACTTTAAACCATTTGACAAACTGTAAAGAAAATAGCAGAGTCATTTTGGTGGCCAGATTCCCTAAATCAAACAGTGACCATTGGAATCATCCTCTTGCCCTCATATTCTGTATTCTTGTAATTTGGAGGATGATATTTTGGGATAATTTTTCTTTTTTGACTGAATTTCTGTAATAAAGGATAAACAGAGTTATTCAGTTTGGGAGAAGTCAGTATCAAGTAAACTCTGTGTTCACTTGGGTAAAGGAGTTCTCATTTGAACTGAGGTAGCAAACGTGTATTCCATGGGAAGTAAAGGGGTGAATTGTACATAGCCCACAATCTTTCTCATCTGT